AGGCTTGAGCCACCGTGCCCGGCCCTTTCACCCCTTTCTTGCCCAGAAAGGAAGGACGCAGAACAGGTGGTCTTTCTTCTGGGCTCTGCTGCCTCTGCAGGCCCTCCTCTGCATTAAGACACTACAAGACACGGATGGCAGACTCCCCCTTAAATAGCTGTTTATTGGCAGTGTGCTGGAAAGGGCGATGGAGTTAGCATTCACAGACGACACCACACACGACTGTCACAAGGGAGGCAAGAGCGTGGGCAAGCCAGTTTGAAGACCCGGAGCAGGAGGCCCCTGCTTCAACAGTGTGGGAGGGGGCGGGGCCTGGAGTGTTGGGGGCAGCCTGGGAACACCTCCGCTTAGTAGGCATGGTTAGAGATGAAGAGGGACTCACTGGCAGCAGCCCCAGCCTGACCGCTTGGGGTGTACTTTCCTTGACAGGCGAGGCTGTTGGCCTAAGCGGGGAGAGGAGTGGAATGAGAAGGGTTCTTCTCCAAGTCCCACCCATCCAGGCACCCAGCCCATGTCCTGCCCACATCCTTACCAGGGCACGCTTGATGTACTCCTCCTGCGCCGCCTTCTTGTTTTCCTTCTTCCCACCCCAGGCCTTCAGGGCAGAGGCTTGCAGGGCTCGGCCATAGGAGAAGGTCAGGGCCCAGGGCTTCAGCAGGGGGCACTTGTTGATGGCGTTGAGGTTGATGGATGCCTCCTCCTCACTCTGGCCTCCAGAAAGGAAGGTGATCCCTGGGGAGCAGGGGCGAGAGGTGGGAGGGGCTGTGGTCAGAGACCCAGGAAGCTGGCAGGAGCTGGTAGAAGCTGCCATGGAAATCTGCCAGATGGGCATAGGGTCATGGGTGGAGCTCATCTACTGCCTATGTGTCAAGATGAGAGTGTGGGCCTCACCAGGGACAGCGGGGGGAACTGTGCGGCGAAGTGCTGTGACAGTTGCCATGGCAATCTCCTCGTGAGAAAACTTCTGAGTGCAGGCGTGGCCTGGGGTAACCATGTTGGGCTTCAGCAAGGTGCCTTCCAGGTAGATGTGGTGGTCGCTCAGAGCCTTGTAGACAGCAGCCAGCACCT